CCATCCCTGTCAATTAATAATGCTCCCAGAATCAGTTTAAATTGTCACTTTTTAGCCAAAAAACCTTGGAAACCTAAAAATGGAATTTTAGCCATCACTTGAGGTAGTAGAGAGATAATTTTATCAAGCTTTTCAGAGATCTATCAAATCAGACTACTTGTCAGCTTGATTGATAATTTTACCACCTTACAACAACATATATCCAGTATGTTGTTTTTCAAAGTGTTTTTGCTCAGATCACCTGCCTGGGATGTTTATTAAAATGCTGACTTCTCATGCCACACCTCAGACTGTCAGACTCTGCATTTTAATCAGGTTCTTTGTGTAATTGTCAGGTACTTAGTGAACTAGGACCTTGAGGGAAATTAAAAAGACCAGTGAGGAGGAAATATCTGGTTTATGACCTTTGCCAGAGGCCAACAAATCACCCAGAAATGCTTTTCTATCTACCCTTGCCTGGGCAGTTCTCACCCAACTAGTCTGATTTAAATGGCTTGGAATGGGGCCCCTCTTTGTGTAGAGTGGGAAGAGGACATTCTTTGCTTATGTGACAAGGTTACCTAGTCCCATCTAAAATGAGTAAGAGCTCTTAATTTTTCCTAAGCAAAATTTATTTCATATCATAAAAATTAATCATTTGAATGAGTTAAAGTCTGTGTATTGCCTTAATATATACTATATGACTTCTATTCATATATTCTGATTCTTATTATTAACAATTCTAAAGTTATATCTACCAATCTTTCCTCTTTTAGTGGCTAAATTATTTTGTTTCCCACGCAATGAAAAAAAAAAAATGAAGGAGAGAAGCTGACCCTCATAGGAAAGCTCCAGGGGTATAATTATGCTATAATATCAGTACAGTGTATCTGATCAAAACAGTGTTTGATTTCCAAACCACATTAAGTCTTCTATTTAAATTTCAAATTATAGACTTGTTTGGATACAATTATCTTCCAGCCCAACTTTTTTTTTCTTTTTAGTACCTACAAGCTGTTCACATTTGAAGTCCTAATGATAAATGGGAATAGAGTAAAGGGATGATTTATCATTCATCAGTTTATTTGTATCTTTCCTAAGGGATTTAATGTTCCAAAATTTTCTTTGTAATTTTTCTTTCTGTATTTCTTACTATAGATTTATCTTTAACTTTTAAAATTAATTGTAGAAGAGAAAATAGTGAAAGTGAGTCAAGACAAGACTTTATGGCATCAAGCAAGTTTTCAAATATCTCCCTCTAACCCTGGGATTCCTTCTCTTCACCATCTGCCAAGAAAGGAATATCTTTATTATTTGTTCTCTTCCATTTTCTACAGGAGAGAAGTTTGGGGTATCTGTGGGACATCAAACTGATGTTTAGTAGGTTGACAGAAACATGAACATTAGGGCAATACCAAACTTAATAGAGCAACTGCCCTAATTTAAAAAGGGACATCCATCTAATATACACTGAAATTTTCTGTATTTTTTGTAACTTCTGATAAAATATTTATTAG